CCGTCCCATTGCTCTTAGACGCATTGGGGGCTATTTGAACAGGCCGTGACTCCATGATATGTGGTCACCTGCAGTGCCAGATGCATCTCGTATCAATTTCGTCACCTCACGTTCGTCATGAACTACGTTTCAGGAGCTGGTACTCTTTAGAGGCTGCGGCATAAGCCTGAACATCGATATATGGTCAATTTAGTCTGAAAGCCTACATCGCAAAGTCTGTTGTGAACTTGTGAAAATTTATGACAAATAGCCATCCTAGTGTACAAAGCGCAAATTCTCTCAATGCGAGGTGAAAAATCTCGGTGAAAAGGTAGCTAATTAAGCTTACCAGAGTATCACTACTTGCCTCACTAACTTTTGAATTCATGATGGCAAAAACTTCTTACTGTACCCCAGCATCAAGCAAGTTTTCTGTACTCATATGCTGGGCATTGATCGGATATGGCTTGCGCGGTGTTCATGCTTGAAGTACTCATAGATTGAGCACTGGGGAGCATGTAAAAGACTAGCTGGCTGAACGCGTGTCCAGTGGTGAAATGACATCGTTGCTGGGTCGTTTGCTGCAAGCCGGAAAGACCGACAGAAAACACCTTGCATCCAATTGATCACCAAGGTAGCGAATAAAATGGTTCTCCGGCCGAAGCATAGACGCTGATCAGAGAGGAAATTCAAGCTGGACTTTCAGAAGGTGCTCAAGTTGCGTCTAAATTCCAGCATGAGTCCTCATTAGAGACTTGGATGAAACTTTGTGCATAACATTGTTCGAAACGTGCGGCCTCCGTTGGCCTTATAAGGGCAAATGAACGCTACCTGTTTCGTTGATCCCTCGCAATGTAAAACGGTCGTCGGCTGATTGAAAAAGACATTGGATCCCCCACTGAAGCTAAACTATCTCTGACGTTTCCGATCACACTCGATATGTCCCGAGGGAGTGACAGATTAATGCATAAAAGAATCGGCTTCTGATTAAAACGAACTGTTAAATTGATGCAGTTACTTTACGATAACGGCTACTGAGAACGTTCCTTTATATCTGGTCGAGTTTGCTGAACTATTTTGATTGTAAACGCTAGCCCTCATTTCATGCGTGCTTTTGTCTACCTCAAAATATTTGAATATTTTGCAAATACATAAATATGCCAGTATTTCATCTCAATTTTGCTTTCTAAGTTCACATGTAAATTTTCAATGCCAAATTTTAACTGAGCTGAAAATATCTTTTCTACAAACAGCCTCAATAAGTCGGATCGAGCGTGATGGCGATGAGTGCTGATTTTTATTTATGAAAAGTATGTTCATTTTCGTAATGCGGTACTCTTGAAAAAACATTGCTGTGGTGCCGAAAGCAACATGAATCACGGTGCTTTCTACACGACCCAAAATTTGATCAGTCCGATGATTGAACAGTACCGGCGTTTTAACCCTTAAGGTAAGGAGTCGGTTGAGATTCCGAAGTCTTTCTTGTTGTTCGCAGTGACTGGTACATTTGGAGCCAAAACGTATTTTGTCCGTTCTTCCGGTTAAAGGGTTTTAGCGACAGGAGCGGCAGTATTCATCGACACGTTGGCACGGGTCAATCATGCCATTGACCATATTTTTTACGTTGCCTATAAATAAACCGTGTTTTATACTGCATTCAGTATAACCACCTGCCCATGAACGTAACGTTCAATCTGCTTTGATGCCATAATCATGCATAATCACCGCTCATACATAAGCATGTGTGTTAGTCGAATCAACAGAGAAATGGAGTTTTCATTCGTACACAGAAGATGTTCAAATATGAAGATCCCCTAATATGCTGAAAGGATACCAGATGTGTCAATGGGCGAGGAAACGGGACGACGAGGCCGTATAAAGAAAGTATGTTACAGTTGGTATTCCTTATAATTACCAATATTATCACCCTTGCTTTATGGATTCAGTGGAGAAAAGGGTGGTGCTAATCGCCGTTGTTATGTTAACAGCGATGAGTGCTTCATTTTGAAGATAGGATCGACAGTAGCAACGTGACAAGCATAATCTGTATTCTGCTACTTTCTTGCAATTTATCGATCAGAGTGGTACTCATTTATCAAACCTCAGAAAGAAAAATGATCAGTGACCTACACCGGGACTCTAACCCAATACCTCTGGGTACTGTGAGTACAAAACTGTACCGAGGGCGCAACCTGGGTCTGAAACAACGTGTGATAATTTCTTTGCTCAAAATAAAAGCGAGACCATGTGTCGTGGCCGTGTAAACCATGCAGCGACTTTTTTAAGTCATTCTCTTGACAATATAGTATAAGCCAGTTCTAGTTTCTTGTAAAATATAAAGATTCGCTGTTTCAGATTATGATCATCATCGCAGGATTCATCGCTTCCTCGTCTCGATTGAACAGAGCTACATAAATCATTTTTCAGATACGCCAATTTTCAGCAATCACATGCTTCAAGAAGAAGTTCAGCCCTACGAGTCATGCATCGCCCATTCTCGCATGACCATGCCAAAACATCAGGCTGCCATATTCTTTGCAACTCAACGGGCTGCTGAAGATGGTTTGCTGTTAAGACACTACTCTTCGTCCATGGGAATTCGAACTCCGTGCGATTCCAACCTCTCATCACTCAGCCATCGCGTCATCGCCCCCTGAACCGTAGTTAAAATGCCCATCATTACGCCATGGGAATCGAGCCCGTTCTTTAAAGCTGGCTTTCTTCAGCTCTTGCTCAACCCAGTTGAACTCCTTGGCTCTTTTGTTTGACCATGATGAACTATCTGTCAGTAGTACACAGACAGTTGATCGTAATCGGTTTATGATTTACGACGGGAGGGTCAACGAACACACTTTCGGTTGCGTAGAAAGCTGCATCGTGACACGGTTTCTGAACCATAATCAACAACCTTATTTCCTGTTTAGCGACACATCAGTAAACTTTGACAGCACTGAATCTTTCATTTTGCTGGGTCATTCGCACGTTGCTTTCAGGTACGTTTGACCTCTATTGAATGTACGTTTCCTCTGACCTCTTTTCGACGACGGTCATATGGTCAAGGTAGCGTGCCCCAGTTTGCTGTGTCCACGTTCACTTGCGCCCGCTGCAAAATCTGTGCCGTGAAACCAGTATCAGTTTATCCGTCACTTCGGTCTTCCGTCTAAATTCAGAATGAACATAAAAGAAATACATTTATTTTATGTTCAGAAGTAGAAATATAATCTGTTGAGTTCCCTAACTGGAAAGCACCTTTCATATGATTCATACTTATGAATTGGCTGTGTTTCATGTCATTTCATTGTTTTCAAAGGCTGCTGGCTGTCGTCCCTCTCCGGACCTTTTGCTTGATTGTTTTTCCGTTCCAAATAATCATCGACTTCCATAACTAGGTTTCCATAGCAGTACCCTAGAAACGTGAGCAGCAGGAAAGGAAATTTCATTTTCAACGTATCTTCGTAGAAAATCTTTTTCACGTAAATAAAGCCAGCTTGAGATGAACTGAGAAAATAGAAATTTGAATATAACGACAGATAGTAAGGGACAACGTAAGCCAATGCGAGCATCCGTCGAAACATGCCATCGGATAAGTGGTCTTCGCGCCATCGCCTTACTGAGGAAACGGTGTAGACGGCTTTGCACACATTTTCCAGTAGAATTTCGACGATGTTCATGGAAATCCAGACGAACGTCGAGAGCGACAGTCCGTGCCACACGTGGACGAACGAAAAACACACCAGCATAGCCAAGAGACGTCGGGGGACGCTGAACGTCGGCGCACATATCGGGTAAATGACGTACTGCTTGAAGAACAGGTACAGTCCCCGGTCGAAGCTGCGCCAGATCTTACTGTAGAGAATAACTCGCGATACACAAATCGGCAGGGCCATGGGCTGCATGGCGTCCAGGCGAGCGAAGAACGCGTGCATTCCGCAGGTGACCACGAAGCGAAGATGGAAGAACTG